ATCATAGTACAAACTTTAATATTTATTTTTATTTGGTTAAATTTTAAATATTTGACATTATTATTATTTTTAATAATGCTTTATTTATTTATTTATTTAGGATCAGGTCTTCGAAATGAGACATTTCGTAATGCTGCAATAATAGCATCAATATTATGAAAAGAATTAGGGCATTCTGAACAAGAATATAAAGAGCTTATTTCACAATTTCACTATTTTGATGCTATAAAAAAACTATTTGACCTACCATATGTTCAAGGATTGGACACTCCGATATTGTGGTGGGGATCTATCAAAAGTCGGTCATGTCATCTTTCTGAACTCACGCTAAAACTTTTTAGTATTTCGCCATCACAAGCAAACTGTGAAAGAAATTTTTCCACTCTTAAGTGGTTTGTTGGCGATAAATATACATGTTTTGGAATTAACAAGCTTGAAGGAATGGCCAAAATCAGGTCATATAATATGACAAATATACAAAATGAACTTACCTACTTTGATGCTGAGTTGACCGAATCTGAATTATGTGAAATGGTAAAGCTTGCAACAATTGATAATTATATTGATGATCGTCTTGATAATTATATTGTAGACGAAGAAGCAAACAGAAATAATGATACATATGAAGAGGATCTAAGTTTATTATCCCAGACTAATTTAATTTTAGAAGATGTTGTAAATCTTCGGGACCTGGTCTTTCAAGAAAGAGATACTGTACCATTTGAATTTTCTTTTAATACTTCAGAGACTAGTGTTGAAGAAAATATCAATATGAACTTTAATCCTAAGGATCTTGTTGATTCTGTTTTAAATGTTGATTTGGATTAAATAGCTACTTCTACTGTATTTAGATATTAAACAATTATTAATAATGGATTTCGATATTTAAAATAATATGCTATACGAATATAATAGAATAATAACATTATTATTGCTTTTTTAAAAAAAAAACTCTGTGAATAATCGTTAAATTTGGTTTTCATTATATCATAAAAATTATATATTACATATCAAATGTTGAAATACAATATATTAAATACGGCACATATTAGATGTTACGATACATGCCAATTGTTACAGCACATGCAAGTTGTTACGGCATATATGAGTCGAGGACCTTTTGACATATCTTCATATCTCAAGTTACAGCTATCAGAATGTAAAAAAGGTCACATCACTGATCATATTCCTGCACCTATAATAACTACTATAACTACTATAGCATAAGAATCTATAAATTTTTTAACTACAATGATTTTAGAATAGAATAAATAAAATAAAATACTTTTTACTACTGTACTAATGAAAAAAAGTTCAAAATTTATGTTGCAATTTTTGTGAACATCTGAATTTTTGATCATCCGACAAATTCGTTAAAACTTTGGATGATCAAAAATTCGAATATCCACTACTGGCTACAAGTGAAACCGTCCCCAGATTAGGGGATGGTTAAAGCCATATACCCATGAGATTTTGACGTTTTAATTAAAATAACTGATAAGGTACGTACGTATGTATGTACAGTCAGCATGAAAAGTTTGTCACGGTTATACCAAAACAATGATAATTATGTATATATACAAGTAATTCTCGATATAGGAACCTTCGATATACTCGATATACTGGTAAGAAGCTCTTGGCATAAGAAGGATTTTACAAGTTTCATTTGAAAATTTTATGTCTTTTATATAAGAAAGTTTCGATATAAGAAGGATTTTGGCTAGACCTGGTGACTTTTTTTTATATCAAAAGTCAGTTGTATTCATTAATATTTTATCGCTGATTTGCATATTATCTTTGTGTAACCGTGATAAATGACTGTACGTACGTTGATGTTACACAACTGATCCTTCACCCGGTGTGCGACATATAATATACAGTTATTGGTGCGTAGCGTCCAATAACGGTATTATCCGTTAGATTACGACGATCGGGCATAACGTGAAGCGAGTAAATAAGTTTTAATTAAAAATACATATGATAACGTTAAATAAAAAGATAAA